ATTTTCTGCTGCCCTGCATTCTCTGCTCCACACACAATAATGACTAAAACCAACTGGTGACCTTTCTAACCGAGCCACCCACTTCGCTTTGCTGATGCTTGCAGGTATTTCACAGGATGTCTGGAGTAGAGATGCAACCCAGACATGATGCAGAGAGCCAGAGACAAAGCATATTGTCTTTTCCTTTCCTCTTTTCTGTGCAGAGATCCCTGAGCATCTTAAAGAACAGTAGCCACCGATACTGCGGACCAGTGGGCATGCTTCTCATTTTGGGACAGATTCCAACAGACCTCAGTTTAATTTCTCCATCTTCTGAGATGCAGATGACCACTCCTAACTTCAGTTAAATCCCTCCTGGAATTCAAATAACTCAGCCCTTTTGATTCCTCAGTGGTCACACACACGGTAGAGTTGGCATCGTTTCCCTTTAAATAGGTTGTGAGCCCTCTAGCGGTCCTCACCGTTTTCTTCGTTTTAGGAGCCACCGGTGCCATGCCCGAGTTGTCGTCTGCATAATGAGCTTGGCTTTCCACCTTACATAGGTTAGTAAACCTGGACAGTTGGACCTGACCCTGTGCCCTGTGCCTCCTTTCTAGTCCATGTGTTGTGCAAAGACAAAAGTTGCAACGAACTCCTATTGTAAGAATCTGAGTGTAATATATAGGTCTATCGATCGATCGATTGATCGATCTAAATAAAAGCAGGGATCCTGGTTTTCTCTGCTTTAAAAAAATCTCCAATTTTGGGGGGGTGTATGTGTGTGTCTATCAGTGGTGTTTCATTGAAATCATGGAAAAACGTGGATTGGGGATTATTTTTCTTTAACTGAAAATTAGGGATTTTTTTAAATCGGAGAAAACCAGGATCCCTGTGTATTAGAAATGTCTTTCATAGCTGGTGGGCTTTCACCTCATGCATTCAGGTTCTTGTCTGACTCCCACCACCACCATATCAGGGCTTTGTCCAGTGCTTGTTACAGTGAAAATCAAACCTAACAGATCAGTGTAAGCTATCTTAAAATGGAAAAAAATATGCCAGTTCAGAGTACAGAAAATGGTGGTCTGTGGGCTACCATACCCACAGCGCATCATCATGTCAAATATACCTGGAGAGAAAAGATATTGAAACAGTGGTCTTTCATGGGGCAAAACTTGCTAAACAATTTACATTTTTTCCTGCAATGCAAAATTGCAGAATGCATTTCCTGCATTTCAACATGTAGCTGAGCAGATCAGTGAGGCCAGCTGTATGTAGAAACCTTTGGGAACACAGGAAGAGGAGAGGAAAAATGCTTTTTTGTGAAAAGCACTGCAATTCATTCGCTCATTCTGCATGCGTCATGCCAACGTAACATTGGTGCTGATGGTCGTATAGGAATTGCAGACTACAAGTCACATGGAAGAAGCCATAATGAGCGTGCTGCCTCCCTGGGTCTCACTGAGGGCAATTAAATGTCCTGCACAAGGTCGCAACGGGTGTCCGTAGCAGGGCAGAGGATTGAACCCAAGTCTCCAAGGTGTTAAATTACATCTTTACCACTAGGCACCCTTCCTTTCACAATGAAAGTGATTGATAATTTAATTGGCCTGACTGTAGCCAACGCACACCCACGCGAACACCCTTCGATTAACCCATTGTTACTTTTGCAGGTGACACTGCGACGGTAGGTTGATTACTATCCCTTCTTGTGCTCGAAGATCTCACAGCAATCTCTGGTATTTCTCATTAAGCCATTGCATTATCACATCCTTATTGAGAGGAGAGTAATTTGTGGTTCTAATTAATTTAATTTGAGTCACATGTGCGTGTGTATACAAGGGCTATTCTTCCCTGTTCCACAGGGCTTTAGCTCATATTGACAGTCTTTATCAGGTTGGCCATTATTATTATTATTATTATTTTTAGCCGTTGCTAAAACTGTGATGGTGACAGCTTCCTTTTGCCTCTTTGAGCTTGTTTTGCCAAGACTGAGATGATACATTGAGACGGTGTCTTAATTAAATGCATGTTAGGTGATTCTGTGGGAGTGAAAGATGTCATAGGGGCGACAGCACAGAGAAGTTACAAAATAGGAAGCAAAACACATATATCCCCCAAATTGAGCTTTAACGACAACCTACCGTGACTCCTATAGGGAAGAGCAGGTAGTCTTCATTCCTTAATATGCCTGTGTAGTTGCAGTTCTCTGCTGGGATTGGCAGCCAGGTTGCCGTGTGTGTGTGTGTGTGTGCGCGTGCATATATGCATGCATGCATGTGCACGCACGCGCGTGCATGTGTGTGTATGTGTGCGTGTTTCGGAGGTGCATATTAGCCAACTGGAGACTACCACCTCGCTGTACATAAACCTCCAGGCAGTCGGCAGACAGCAGTGACTTCCAGTCATTGCTATCCTAAATTCGATTCTGCGTGCAGTGGCAACTGGCCAAAGGTTATGCTTTCCTTCCCTAACGCCATTAGTTGCCCGCACAAGGCAAGTGTATTCCCATTAGCAATCCCACCCCCACCTCTCATAGCTGTGGTTTCTGCAAGCAGAGGATGTACCTTGCTCTTGTAGGCTGCACCCCCTCCATCGGCCAGGAATAAATAGGATAAATTGCGGTCTATGATCCGCTGACTTAACCCGCAATGGCAGGAACTAGAAGTTTTTGCAATAAGCCCTGGTATAAATTAATAAACAACTTTTTACAGGAAAATATTAACATGAGTTATTCCCCAGACTCTTTAAGTTTCTCCTGCGCAAGCCTACAGATGGTTTTTGGAACATCTTCTCCAGATGCTGAAATTGGTTAAGAAGATAACAACTGCTTAGTCTGCATCAAAGTCCAAAGCTGAGCAGTGACGCTGTAAGATTCATGGGCCATTGAAGGGCCTGCCAAACTATAGCCTTGTGTGTATACTCCATCAATGGGTTTTTCTTTCCAGCCATTTTCAATCTCCTGGGGATTACAACTGTTGAAACTAGTGACAGATTCCAAAGGAAAGTTTTGTTCCGTAGTTTCTGTTTGTTAAATGTTAGCAGTTGATGGTTGCCATGCAATACATTCAGCGTCTGGCTCACTTGAAGCCTGCAGCTCGGTTGCATCTTCCTTCTTTAGTATTTTAAGAGGATCTAGATTGCTGTGCTTACCAACATTGGCTCAGGTGTGCGCTCAGTACATGTGCAAATGCATCTGTTCCATATATCGATCCCCTCCGTAAGATTACCTCTGGGAAAAGAGTGAAAATAGATGTAGTTGGGAGAAACAGTGCTTGTTGCACAATGCGACTTCCCATGAAAACTGCGAGAGCTTTATAGTCCGAGTGGGTTATGTGGATGTGGTCCCTGTCTGCAGAAACAAAGCTGCCTCTTAATTGTTTGGTCCGAACAGTTTTGATGTTTCATTATCCCTCAATCAGTTGGTGCCCTAAGGGACAAGAGCTATTTGCTGGTAATACACTAAACAGAATCAAGCTTGGAGCACTGCTAGTCCCTGACATTTGAAAACATTTAATTTAAAATACAGGCTCGAGTATTTGGGATTCTCCAGTCCAGATTAGACCAGCCTGTCAACAAGCAGTTAAGTGGGCACTGTCTGCCACTTGCGACTATATGGGTATTCTGTATTCGGGGCCGGCATCTTTCCAATTGCCATAAAACGAGGTTCTCCCCGTACCAGGTCGTCTTGCTGTTGCACGTCTTGTTCTACTTTCTGTAGAAAAGTTTGACAGGAGCGTGGTGTTGTTTTTCTCTCTTAGCGCAAACAAAATGCATGATGTAGACAACGTAAGGAGGCGTAAGTGCCACGTAAATCACATCCTAAAGACAAAAGCAGATTGCAGACACCTGAATTACTGAGCGCTTGATGTGCGCTGTCGTCTCGGTTTTGTGTTTATGTTTGTTTGCCTGCAATCAAAGCGAAACATCGAGTGGGGTTATTTTCTCTGTTTCCCCCTTCCTCCCCCCCGTTATTGAAAACGCTTTTGTCTTTTCCGCCTGCTCAAGGAAATAGCCTCTTCTGAGCTGTAGGTCAATTCCTGCAAGGAGGCACATCATTATTGCTGGGCATTGTGCTACCTATTGTGGTAGCCCACTTAAGGTCTCCCACGTCTCTGACCTCATCACTGGCTCATCCTTGGAGATCCTTCTCCTGCACCCTTTCAATTTTTTCTTCGTTTGCATGTTCGTCGTATAACCCCCTCCTCCTCGTTACCATCCTCCCCAGCTACCAAATCATTTCACCTCCAGCTACTCCACGTAAGAAATCAGTAGCCTTCTGTTTTCAAGCTGCAGCAATTGGAGGTCACAACCGACAGCTCATGTCTCTATTTGTGTATCGTTATGGTGGGGGAGGGGGCTCAAAAAAAAAACTTGTGTTTTGTCTATAACCGTCTATATTTGTAAATGATCTTTTTTTAGGGATCAGGATTATCCTGTTTGGGCTTTTGTTTCACTTGGTGGGGCCAGCCGGAGCGTCTCCTCCAAAGCTGATAGATTTGAAAAGGCAAATTTTCTATTTCTAGGGAGGCACTTTTCCAGGGGGGGGTTAGAAATCAACCTGTTTCTCTTCTGCCGTTCTGATTGGTGCGATAACATTGACAAGCCGATCGCGTCAAAAGGAAATATCCTTGGCTTAATTGTAAGCTAAGTCTCTCTTAATCCAGGGGAGCATTTGAGATTCTGTCCAAGTGTTCAATTTCCCAGGCCGCTGAGGTCTGTGAATTTCTCTCCCCAGCCTCCAGGCTGCTGCAGCACAAGTCAGCATAGCTAATGCAGATAGATCTCTCCCCCTCGCGCTCTCCCTCGCTCGCTCCCTCTCCCGCTCCCGCTCCCTCTCCCTCTCCCTGCTTTGATTCGATATGAACAGACTGGTAACTCCAATGCCAGAGCGAAATCTGACATAACTCTGCAGATGGCTACGTTCGGATGATACACCTAGGGATTTTATTTTTTTTTAAAGGTAATATTTGTATGCTAACGTTTCTTTTTTTTTTTTTTTTTCCCTTGTTGCCATTTTTCAGGACTGCCAGTCCCAAAGAAGAGCCCAAAGTCGGTAAGCACTCTTTCTGTGTGTGTGTGTGTGAGTTCTTTCTGTTTGTCTCCGTCGTAAGGCAAGGGGCTTGCTTGTGTGTCGGGCTTTTTCTTCCCCCCCGCTTCTCGTGATTATTATTTTGGCGTGGATTGTTTTAAGTTGTCTGGCTGTTGCCACAATGCCCACCGTGCAGGGTGAGATGAAAGAGGAAAGCCGTGCAGGAAGGGAGCTTGCCTGCAAATACAGCTGGAGATGCACAGATCCTCGTCCCCGACGGATGAGCCGCTCGGCAGTTTAAGTTACCCCCCCTCCTCAAATGTCATTGTTTCCTTTCTTTGCAAGATGAGAGGCTCCACCTTCTTTCCAGAGAGCAGTTCCCATCAGAGGTGTCCGGGGACTCCAACCTTTGGCATTAACTCGGAGTCTTCTCATGCACCAGTAGATGAATTATTTACCAACTACAAAAGCCGGGCAGTTTACAGGGGGGGGAGGCCAGGTGCAAGGTGCATCTCCAGGTTCACAGGCATGCCGTTAGCTGCCGTGAGACTGGGAACATCTGGCTCGCTGTGTGGGGGGCACCCTTTGTTCCTTGGCTCGCCTTTCGCAGCGTTTCGCTCTCGGTGCGAGATCCTTTTCTTTAGGAAACGCAAAAGAGAAAGCAATGATTTCCTGTCCTTTCTCATCTGGTTTCCATGTACAGCTGTTACCTGGTTGACATGTTAGATAATAGCTTGGAGGCTCTCCTCTAAAGTGTGCTGAAAGCCCCGCTCCTCCTCCAGTGTTAAGAGCTGAATATGCTCTTTTGAGCCAGGAAAAGGGGGCGCTTGTTTTATAGGGAATGAGAGGTTAGCAAGGTGGATTTGAAAGGGGTTGATTCCTGCACAGCTTTGCCATGCCGTGCCATACGGCAGAGTGAAACTTCCCCGACGGTCCGCCGTGGGTGCCGGCAGCAGCAGCCTGTAGCCATGCAGCCCGGTGAGAGGTTTAATACGGAAATGAGCAGCAATCTCCTGCTTTTAATATGAGTTCCCCGTTCCTCCTAAAAGATAGCCCTGAAATAATTAATGTGATTCCCGTGGCTCAGGGGAGCGCTGATTAAAGTCACATGACTTCAGGCCTATACCATTGTCAGCTTGCATTAATGTTGAGAGGGAGAAGAGCAGTTTGCGCTCGCGCTCCGATCACAGAAATGTCAGGCCATATGCATTTACTTCTGTGTCATAGTCAAAGATTAATTCAGCCCTTGGTAAAATAGAAACAAGTGTGTAAAATATGTACAAGCCCAGCAGATTTTTTTTCCCACCCCCACCCCCCCGGCTGCGTGTTTCCTTTCCTCCTGTCAAAGAAGGTTTCTCTGAATTTGATTTAAGATATTGTAACCCTTGTTATTAAACCAGCTCTGGGAAACGAACTTTGAGTTTTAAAACTGGGTCCTCACACAGGATCAGATCAAGCAAAATCTGCTTTATTAATGAGAGGCTGTATTAAGCACCTGTCTAGTGAACGGTGGTTCTTCAGCAGCATTTAAATCTGTGCAACATCTAAATCCACTTAGAGATTATCCTCCCTGGATGAAGAGCGAGACTGTTTGCAAACAGGTGTCATCCTGGAGCCTTCAGTGAATCCACCAGTCTCAGGTGCAGCTGGTTTTTCGTGGAGGTTGCTTGCAGAAGCTGCTTTGCTCATTGAAAGCAGCCCAATTCTTTGGACATTATGCTCCTGGAAGGCTGCTTCCTCTCCTGCCCTTCAGTATTTTTCACCAAAGCCATACACCTGTGGTTCTCAACATTTTTGGTCTTGGGGCACCGCTCTTTGGACTTGGGACACCCCCCTTTGGACTTGGGGCCCCTCCGTAACTTTGTGAATTGAGTAGGACCCAATTTCAAAATCTAATTTATAGCTTTCCAGATTGTGGATGGGCCTGCTTTGAGCAGGGGGGTTGGACTTGGGACACCCCCCTTTGGACTTGGGGCCCCTCCGTAACTTTGTGAATTGAGTAGGACCCAATTTCAAAATCTAATTTATAGCTTTATAGATTGTGGATGGTCCTGCTTTGAGCAGGGGGTTGGACTAGATGTGACCTCCTGAGGTCTCATTTTCCATGATTACAGTGCTTTCTTCCTTGCACAGGGGCTGGGCAGTAGGGTGGAGGATCGTCTAGGGAGGACCCTAAGCCTGGTTTATCTGCTTAGCTTATCTGCTGATCTCCTCACCCCTCATTTATCTCCTCCCCCCCAAAAAGGGAAAACAAAAGTGAGCTTTTTCCCATAAAAGGGAAGAAGCTGCTAAAAACACTGTTTTTCCCCCCTGTTTAGGTATAGGAAGTGCTTGCTCTAGCAACTAGTGGACGGTATGTTAAAACAGTATATCAAGGCAGCTTATTGTAGTCTGAAAGATTTAAGGATCCTGGTGTGCAAAAGTAAATGAACAAAATGATCAACTTGCCAACATACAATCCATCATTTCATCTTAAGCAGAAGAATAAACACAATAACATTATCAATCCAATATTTATAGCAGCTTCCTTTGCATAGTATAATAAATGGAGGTTTCATGTTTAACCATGTTAAGAAGCATAGAAATAAAGGGTTTCAAGACACAGTTGCATCACCTCTAAGATTCGCCCTCCAGTCTCTACAGCCTGTTCCCAGTTGAGGTGGGATTGCTAAACCAGTTGGGGTGGGATTGCTAAGGAGCTCCCTGAATGGTGCAGATATCACATCCTCATAGCACAAAACGCCCCAGTTCCCTCGGTACTCCTCAAGGCAGGGTGGCTGCACCTGTAAGATCCCCGACATAGGTCTCGTGTGGCTGTTGTCCTTCTCTTGCCCTCGCTCTTCTCTAGAAAGCCCTGACCAAATATTTACTTCTTGATTAATAAATGAGCTGCTACTAAAGCAGCATCACACAGTCAGTTCTTAGGTTCGTAGACTGACACTAGCCCCAGCTTCCTTTTCTGAATGGCCTTAAAGAGTGACCTCGAGCAACTTCAGTGATTTCTCCAGCCCCTCCCCCCAATTTGTTGCCCATCCTCTTCCTTTCCTCTGTCCTAATGAAGCACCAATGCATTCCAGTCCTCAGCCTGCTGCCAGTGATCTGTTTCTTAAACATGCCCTGGTTTTTAGCTGGTTTTGATCTGCTAACCTACTCCCATCAGGCCACATCTGTGTCACTGTGGGCTTTTGCTGCCAGAGGCAGGCCTGGAGAAGAAATGTTAGGCCCTTGGGAGGTTTGGTGGTACCACCACAATGGTGCTACATGTGTTGTCTGCTCTAAAGAGAATAATGTATGTTCAGACGCAGGGAAAAGAAATAACTGCATTTCTGAGAGAGTATTTGGAAGGTTTTACGTCTTCCATTGTTATTTCATAACTATCAGTTGATGTGCTATGACCTGAGTTCAAGGTATTCTTCTCTGTTCGTTTGCTTGGTAGAGTTTTTCAGGTTGGAGTGCAGGGCCCAATTTGTAAAATGTCCCAAGATCAGATGTTTAAGTTTTTGTGTGCGGAGCTGGCTAGAAATTTTCAGGAAAAAAAAAACCTTCCCTTTTCTCCTCCCCAGAGGAAACGTGGATTTTTTTTATTAGATGGACATGTTCACAGAACATGCCTGCTTTCTGTGGCTGTGTCTGATTGTCAGCGGGAGAGCCAAAAGTGAAAAAGCTTGACCAAAAATTTAAAATCTTTCCATTTTCTACAGTTTGGGGTGAACATTTACATTTTTCAGGGGGGGCGGTTTGATGAAAAGTAGATGAGTTCTCCTGAAACCATTGAAGTTCGTTCTGCTCAGCATTCATAATCATGGCCAGATCCACTGCGGGCTTCAATTCCCTCCAGCCACCAAGATATGCAATGCAAGCATAAGAGCTAAGGATTTTGAGAAGAGCTAATGCTGCCTCCTCCCCTGTTCCCCGTCTCCTGACCCGTCCCATCCTCTTCTCTTCTCTTCTCTTCTCTTCTCTTCTCTTCTCTTCTCTTCTCTTCTCTTCTCTTCTCTTCTCTTCTCTTCTCTTCTCTTCTCTTCTCTTCTCTTCTCTTCTCTTCTCTTCTCTTCTCTTCTCTTCTCTTCTCTTCTCTTCTCTTCTCTTCTCTTCTCTTCTCTTCTCTTCTCTTCTCTTCTCTTCTCTTCTCTTCTCTTCTCTTCTCTTCTCTTCTCTTCTCTTCTCTTCTCTTCTCTTCTCTTCTCTTCTCTTCTCTTCTCTTCTCTTCTCTTATAGATTGTGGATGGTCCTGCTTTGAGCAGGGGGTTGGACTAGATGTGACCTCCTGAGGTCTCATTTTCCATGATTACAGTGCTTTCTTCCTTGCACAGGGGCTGGGCAGTAGGGTGGAGGATCGTCTAGGGAGGACCCTAAGCCTGGTTTATCTGCTTAGCTTATCTGCTGATCTCCTCACCCCTCATTTATCTCCTCCCCCCCAAAAAGGGAAAACAAAAGTGAGCTTTTTCCCATAAAAGGGAAGAAGCTGCTAAAAACACTGTTTTTCCCCCCTGTTTAGGTATAGGAAGTGCTTGCTCTAGCAACTAGTGGACGGTATGTTAAAACAGTATATCAAGGCAGCTTATTGTAGTCTGAAAGATTTAAGGATCCTGGTGTGCAAAAGTAAATGAACAAAATGATCAACTTGCCAACATACAATCCATCATTTCATCTTAAGCAGAAGAATAAACACAATAACATTATCAATCCAATATTTATAGCAGCTTCCTTTGCATAGTATAATAAATGGAGGTTTCATGTTTAACCATGTTAAGAAGCATAGAAATAAAGGGTTTCAAGACACAGTTGCATCACCTCTAAGATTCGCCCTCCAGTCTCTACAGCCTGTTCCCAGTTGAGGTGGGATTGCTAAACCAGTTGGGGTGGGATTGCTAAGGAGCTCCCTGAATGGTGCAGATATCACATCCTCATAGCACAAAACGCCCCAGTTCCCTCGGTACTCCTCAAGGCAGGGTGGCTGCACCTGTAAGATCCCCGACATAGGTCTCGTGTGGCTGTTGTCCTTCTCTTGCCCTCGCTCTTCTCTAGAAAGCCCTGACCAAATATTTACTTCTTGATTAATAAATGAGCTGCTACTAAAGCAGCATCACACAGTCAGTTCTTAGGTTCGTAGACTGACACTAGCCCCAGCTTCCTTTTCTGAATGGCCTTAAAGAGTGAACTCGAGCAACTTCAGTGATTTCTCCAGCTCCTCCACCCAATTTGTTGCCCATCCTCTTCCTTTCCTCTGTCCTAATGAAGCACCAATGCATTCCAGTCCTCAGCCTGCTGCCAGTGATCTGTTTCTTAAACATGCCCTGGTTTTTAGCTGGTTTTGATCTGCTAACCTACTCCCATCAGGCCACATCTGTGTCACTGTGGGCTTTTGCTGCCAGAGGCAGGCCTGGAGAAGAAATGTTAGGCCCTTGGGAGGTTTGGTGGTACCACCACAATGGTGCTACATGTGTTGTCTGCTCTAAAGAGAATAATGTATGTTCAGACGCAGGGAAAAGAAATAACTGCATTTCTGAGAGAGTATTTGGAAGGTTTTACGTCTTCCATTGTTATTTCATAACTATCAGTTGATGTGCTATGACCTGAGTTCAAGGTATTCTTCTCTGTTCGTTTGCTTGGTAGAGTTTTTCAGGTTGGAGTGCAGGGCCCAATTTGTAAAATGTCCCAAGATCAGATGTTTAAGTTTTTGTGTGCGGAGCTGGCTAGAAATTTTCAGGAAAAAAAAAACCTTCCCTTTTCTCCTCCCCAGAGGAAACGTGGATTTTTTTTATTAGATGGACATGTTCACAGAACATGCCTGCTTTCTGTGGCTGTGTCTGATTGTCAGCGGGAGAGCCAAAAGTGAAAAAGCTTGACCAAAAATTTAAAATCTTTCCATTTTCTACAGTTTGGGGTGAACATTTACATTTTTCAGGGGGGGCGGTTTGATGAAAAGTAGATGAGTTCTCCTGAAACCATTGAAGTTCGTTCTGCTCAGCATTCATAATCATGGCCAGATCCACTGCGGGCTTCAATTCCCTCCAGCCACCAAGATATGCAATGCAAGCATAAGAGCTAAGGATTTTGAGAAGAGCTAATGCTGCCTCCTCCCCTGTTCCCCGTCTCCTGACCCGTCCCATCCTCTTCTCTTCTCTTCTCTTCTCTTCTCTTCTCTTCTCTTCTCTTCTCTTCTCTTCCACACCCTTGTTTCGATGTCTAAAGAGAAGCATTTTCAGGAGAGCTCAGCCAGGCTACAATGCATTCAGCTTACAGTCTTGCCCTTTGGCTCGTGTGCATTTAGCTGGTGTCAGGATCTATGCTGAGCTATTTTTGTCAGGATGAGGAATTGATTATCCAGACAAAGTGTGTCCATGATACATCCCTGTTTACGCACAAAGGGGGACGTAAAGGCCTTTTTTCCAGAGCACTAGGTGCAGAATCAGTGGGCCGTGCCCACGATCACAATTTCTGAGCTTCCTTTTCCAGAAAGTCCTGTCCAGGTCTCCCCCAGGGTCATCCTCTTCATCACTCCTCTCCCTGTCTAATAGCTCTGTCCTTGCTGCCTGCCTTTGACACCTGCAAGCACACATTAGTCCCCCGACAGCTCAGGCCTTGAGCTTCTGTCCCAGCCTTGCTAGTGCCTTGGGCAATGGCTTCTGCTCGCTCGGCTACCACTACCCAAAGCAGCATTTAATTGCTCCTGTGTATAGGCTTTCCACAGATCTGTTACTGAGGGTTGACATTGGTGCCTTCCAGCACTGCACTACTTTGCGAGGCCTCTCCACTCGGATATCTCCCCTTCCTTTTTTTTTTTCCCCACCGTGTAAAAACTGCAAACTCTTTTGTATTGTTTTTCTTTTGCCTCCTGTAATCCTCTCACAGCTTTGGGAGAGGAACGGGGATGGTGCAGTGCACAGCGTAATCCCGTTAGCTTTCCCAAGCGACTAGATTTGGATTGGCATTGTAAGCACATGGAAGACTGGCTTCTTCCTGAGCTTCGTGGAAAATATAGTGAGTGAGATTTGAAAGGGTATGGCATAGGGGAAAGATGTAGACAGCTGTATAAACCCCACAGGAAACCTACCCTCCCTACTCCCTGCTCTTGGGTCACTACCCTGGGAAGGGGGCTTTTACCTTTACCATGATCAGTGGCCCAAACAAAAACTGTAGGGTAGTTTGTCTACAGCTTTTGCATTGCAAAAAAAGGGAAAGCTGGTTGACAGAAGAGCTTGTGGGAAGAAGAATATATTTTGGGGAAGATGATTCTGATAAAGGCTTTGGGAGGTTTTGCAAGCTTACTCCCTCCTGATGGTTTAGGCGAGGAATCCTGGAGGTCCTTGGGTTGGGTTTTGCATGTCTTTGGGCCTGAACAAACATTTCATTTATTCCAGGGTAACAAAGAAGTGGACACACAATGCACGGCCCTATATAGTCGTAGCTCACTCAAAGACCAGTGTAGAATTACGATGGGGTAAAATCAGGGGCAAAGTTACACCGATGTGAAGTAAGCCAGCATAGATGTCAGATATCCATGGCTTATCTCAGGAAAGCCATTTGTTCCAGGTGAACAGGATACTAACTCCCACTTAAGGGTGAGGTGCTACAAAAGCACATAAAGGAGTATGAGGGCGTCCGTTTGCTCCTGACGGCAATGTGATTTGATTCCCGTGTGCTCGCTTTTTGTCGAAGACATGGGAAGACCGAAAGACAGTTGAAGTAGCGTGCAAAGTGTTTGGTGCTTCTTGATGAAAACTCCATGGAAATATAAAAATCTCAAGTACCTACACAAAAACAGTAGTTCAGGTAGATCCCTTTTCACTTCTGAGCCCTACTAATGTAGCAGACATGTGTATTGGTGGGAAAAGGTTTGTCTCCAAACTTTTTGATTAAGCCGTGGATGAGGATACATGCAGACTCCTGGCGGCCCCAGGCAAACTTTTATTATTGGGACCTTCTTTGCCAGAGATAATGATAATAATATTTGAACAATGGGGGAAAAAATTAAAATTTTCGGGCCCCCTTTCTGTTTGGGCCCCAGGCAACTGCCCGGTTTACCCGTGTCTGGCTCTGGATACTTGGGCACGTATGCAATTCCTTGAGTGACCTGAATGGAAATCCCCTTACGTTTTATTGCTGTTTCTTCTACATTTAGAATTTCCAGGTTTGCCAAAGTTTGAAAAAAAAACCTGCTTTGGTTCGGACATGTCTTTCACACTTAAATAATTTGTATTCATTTGCATTGATGGCCTCAACTTAACGAGATTATTTTTTGTTTGGAATACACAAAAAGTTCCATTTAGATCCCCTGGGCAGAAAGGGACTTGAGATCTGAATGGCAGTTATTAATTATTTCATATAATAAGCTACATAAAGGTGCCTCTTCACAAAGAGGTTGTCCATGATGACCTTTTCGTTGGGTCTGTTCAAATCTTTGGTGAAGTTTTCCAGGTCTGACTATCAAGTTTCTATAAGCAAGTTACTTCCAACAAGATGGACTTCAAACCTGGTGTTCACAGAAGCCTATTTATTGTCTTTTAGTCATTTGCCCTTCCTTACATTCCCTCAAAAAAAAAAGAAAGAATACCTTTTTTTTTCCCCGTTAGTAATAAAATGGTGATTATTCACAGCTCAGATGCTTTTCAACAGAGGTCTGCCTTAAAACTGCTTTGTTCATAAACTGGTATTTTGTGCACAGGGAGGTCTGCATGCGAATGAGCTTCTATTACCACTTAGAAAAACGACAGTGTTTGAAACGGGTTCAGATATTTGTCTTTGAAAACTGGTGGCTGAGCAGTCTCAGCAGGTATGCTGTGCTCAAAATGACTTTAAAGTACAAAATTAATTTCATATTCAAGTCAATGGAGATATCATTTAAAGAGGTGCCAGCGATGGGTCATCCACTTCAGTACAAGTCTCGAATGTCAGAGTAATTTGTGCTGCCAGAATCGCCACACCTCTCAGCCTACCCCAAAACACATGCAAAGCTAAAAATATAAATGGAATATTCTTGAGACAGGAAATATATTAATTTAGGTTGGTCTTGAAAAACTCAGTCTGATGACACTGGGTTTGCACGAGCGTTGAATTTCGGTAGCGTTTGTTGGAGCTTCCTCTGCCTGAAGAAGGGTGTTTGTACCCAAAAGCTTGCAAAGAAGAATGTTTTCAACTATTATTAGTTGGTCTAATAAAAGATATCAGATTTACACAAAGAACCTTGCCTGCCTTGGATTTAGGTAGACGCACACGGTTTTTGTTTTTAAAATATTTAATTAACGAGGAAATCAAATCGCTCATTCCGCACACGTTGAGGACCCAGTTTGACTATCATCAGAGCTCAAGGAAATGCAGAAGTTACGTTTGAAGTCTCTTCCTAACCCACTTGTTGCAACCTGGGCATTGGAAAGAGCTGTGAACATACCAAACTATGGACCTACGAAAGGCTGCAGTCCTTAAACCCAGTAGCAGCTTAAGTGCACATTTTCCAGCTCGCCTTTGTGGATTTAAATTAGACCCTTCATATTACCTGAATACAAGTTTTTGTGGCTGAACACAGAAAGGGGGGGGGATTCAATTGAACCAAGTTACTTATAATGCAATTTTAAATTTGTTTTATGCCGAGACGCGGAGGGCAGCATGTTTTCTATGATTAATTGCTTTCCATTTTACATATCTCCTTCTGCCCGTCTGTCCATCAAAATCTGTCATTGGGGAATTTATCCGCACTTAGCAGTAACCGGTAGCAGCCCATGTGTGACATTTCTTTCTTTCTTTCTTTATTTATGTGCATGCAGAAAGGGAAGAGTGGGGGGGGAATGATGGAAAACACCCACTTGGAGACCAATAACCGTCTGTTCCCTCTTTCTCTGCTTGCTTTTACTTGCAGCAACCACTTGAAAGGAAAGACAGCCAAAACAGTTCTCAGCATAGCGTCTCTAGCCACCGCAGCGGACACACCGCGTCCCCCATTCACAGCGCTCAGGTGCTTCCCGACTACCCCGCCACCGAAGCACCGGCTGCGGATCAACCGGACAACTCTGGGCAGAAAAAGCCAGATCCATTCAAAATTTGGGCCCAGTCCAGGAGCATGTATGAAAGCCGACGTGAGTATTGAACAGGTGTGGTTGCTAAGACTACGGTGCTGGCAGCCAGTCTGATTTTTCTCCGTTAGGAAATGAATTTACTAATTTTTTATTTTTTGTGTGTGGAAAATAGAGTACTAAACTCATACGTGTGGAAGAAGCTGAGAGGATCAGCGAATTATGTCTGATCGACATTAACCAAGGGTCAGGTTTTGTCTTGGGTGAAGAATGAGCTCAGGCAGCTTAGACTATAGGTTTGTGCAAGGAACAGTAATATATTTCAAATATTAAGGTCCTTCCTCTTTACTCTTTTTAATGCATCTTTAAAATGGGCATTTGGGAGATTTTTTTTCAAAAGCAAGAGAGAAGAGTTAGGTGTCCAACTCAAATTTCTTCTAGTAGAATAAGACTTGGCTTTGCCACACATGGAAGCGGCAGGAAACGAGAGAGAAATTTAGTTTGCTGAAATACAGGTCAGAGGCTTTTTCCTTCTCACTCCTGGGAGGAAAAATGCTGCTGAGTCTTTTGGCCCTTACCGGCATGTACTACTGTAACAATAGAGAAATCAAACACATGCAGTAAGCGGCTCTCTATTAATAATTAATACATGCACTTGGCTAATATTTCAGCAGGGCTTTGACTCCGCTCCAAGAGTTTAAAATTGGTTTCAATCAGATCTTCCTCTGTAAACAAAATGAGCATGCTTGCATCTCTCTAATTACACTGTCCAAGGCAGAAGAACCTCTAAAAGCTTCTCGGAGCAAGAGTTGAAAATAGAAGTACACTTTCAGAAACAATGGCTATTTTAATTAGGGGCAAGGGAGCTTGAAAGTCTCATTGCTAAAGGAACATGTTAGAGAGACCATTTTTAGCTGTGGAAATGATGAAGAGCTTCATAACACATTAACTAGAGGTTTGTGCAACCAATATAAAATCCACATTACCCCAGAACGGACAGCAGAGGCTTGATTTTTATTTTTTTATTTTTTTATTTTTTTTTCCTTCCAACCAGTTGAATCACTTATAAATCTTATGGCGTGGAGAAAAATAATAACTCATGAGTCAGAGGCTTCCTGGCTGAAGATGCGTCTCTCCGGATGCGATGTCTCAGCAATGCAGTTTCTGCATGGCTCTCTTTTCCCTTCCAGATGTACTTGTTCTGGCCATGCAGGCCCAGGTTCCTTTTTCAGCCTTATTGGCCCCTTCGGTGGAGAAATGGGGGACGTGGATGGTCCTCTCATCCCATCAGGAGTGGATGAGGGCCGTGTATTCCATGGCCTTGTGGGAACCGAATCCCCTCTGCCCCTGCAGTCTGGCTGTGTAGAAACCATGCTGTCATTGTCTTGGACCCCCTGCAGCTATTGAGCAAATTTCTAATTAACTGTTTAGCTCATGCTAATTAGTCATTAGTGTTAGCTCAGCAGCATTAACTCCTGCCTGGATTTCTCAGTGGAAATCTGTGGGATTTCGTCCCACAGATCTGTGGGAATCGTGGGAATCTGTGGGAAATCGTCCTCGTCCCCAGTCCTCCATCTCCGAGCCCTGTCTATAAACCCCGGCTTCTTGCTGCCGCATTTTCCTCTTTCAGCTTCCCTCCTTTCCCCTCTCTATCGGCGCGTCTACACGAGATGCTACTGCGCAGTCGCGACGAGCCATTGCATCATAGCTCGTTGCTGCCGCGCAGTAGTGTTGCCGGGCACTAACCGTGATGCGATACTACTGCACATTAGCACCAGGAAAAAACCGTGCAATGACGTTGCTGCACAGTCGTTTAGTACTTGCTGAAGTACTCGCATTTAGGGCTTGCTAAAGTACTAAATGACTGCACAGTCCGCCGCATGTGCAGACGCGGCCAAGTCCACCGCACGTGTAGACGCAGCCATCATCATGCCTCCACGTTAAGCATGGGCCTGCCTTCTCCTCTGTCTGTGATCCTCATCTCCCACTGACAAGGGTGGGAATCCTGCCTTCTGACTCCTGCTTGCCCATCCCTTTTCCCCCGCTTTGACACAGCTTTTCAGGGGAAAGATTCACCTGGACTTCTTGGCAGCTCTCTTAGGTATGCGCCGGTGGAAGGATCAAGGATTTACCTTTGCTGAGCCCAGGCCTGTTTCAACCTCTGAGTCGGCTTCAAATCGGGCAATGAAACATGACCATCCTGCCTCTTCCATCTGCTTCCTTACAGCTTGGCTTTGCTGGGTTTCGTTGTGAAAGGCAAACCAAGATAGAAAATGTGTAACCTGGAAGGCACCTTATTTGCATGGGGGGGGTCAGACCCAGGCAAACTTGATAGTTGAGTTGACAAAGATTTTGGACTCAATCCTGCTCTTCTCCCCCCATAGTCCTGGGTGGTGGCAGTCCATAGCATGACAGAAGTAAATGGGAGAGCTTGGGTGCCAAGTACCCCATGCTAAGCCATTTTATTCATGCTGTGCTTAACATTTTGGCCTCAGTAAGTTACAATACACTCACAACATAGTATTTACTGGTACTTCGACAGTTAGTGATGCAGAGATGCCATTGCTTTAGGCTGAAAAGGATCCCTTGTCTGTGGAGTGACATGGTACCTCTTTTCCCATCACACCCCTTCCTGGGCTTGGAAATATGTCCCATTTCAATAAGTCATAAGTAACCCTCTAAAACCACAGGTCCCAAATGGAGATGTGACACTTAACGAGCGGATATTTACTCATTTATCATAGCTGGATTTAATGTGGAAGCAGAGTTGCAAGCCTAGCACTGGGTTTCTTATGGAAACTATTGCTCTAAAGCATAGTTGTGCACAACTTACTAGAGTGCAGACGCACAACTTATTCCTCCTTCGTATTACAAAGTGCAGATGCAATCCAAGCATCATGCGCAAGACGACACCTTTGCATGGAGTAGATTTGCAATAAGTAGTCCATGAAGTGGATTTAAAAAAAAAAAATCAAAGTATCTAACATCTCTGAAACTATAAGTGTATGTTGAATTTTATGAAGAAATCAAGGAAGGCGAGGTCTTAATGAAGGAGTTAATCCACTAGCAACTTATGGCTGGATTTTGGCTCCTTTTATCTTTGACTATAAAGCGTGCAGAGATGTCTTGATGCACCTTTTGAATGCAGCGGATACTAAGAAGAGATTGATCCTTGGACCATGTCCCAGTTTGGGCAAGAGTTTTATTCCAGCAATAATATGCAGAGATTTCATGTAGTATTGCAGTGCCATCTTCTTGAGGATGGGAACAAAATCACCTTGAAGGATACTAAACACCTGGGCAGCTCTTCTGATTGGGAGCAAATTTCACCCATTGCATTGTCCACTATTCAAGACATGGATAGGGGCAGCAGTGAGGTTGTATGGTGTGGAGATAATCTTTTCTTCCTTTGCTGAGCGCCCTTTGGCTACTGAAGCATATCTGTGAAAGGTGATATTTGGTTCCAAATGACACATCCATCGCCAAACCATATATTTTATCTTTATATCGATCACGTGTCTTGTGAGATCACGAGGCACTTGCCTCCTTTGCTGATGAGAGCTATACAAGCAAATGCCCTTTCCTGGGTATAAAACATTGAATCAGGATTCATAGCTCAAAACCAGTATGAGCAGACGGTGTTCTCCAAAGAAATACTTTCTGTGCCCTGGCCTTGCCGCATGAGCAGCAAAATAATAGCAGTTTCATGCATCCAGTGTGAATTAATAAGTGTGGCAGCATGTGATCCGGGGATCAATCCTGCAAGGTGCGGAGGACCCTGGCCTCAATCCAGCCAATTTCAACTTCAAGCTTTGAAGCCAGTGGGATTACTTAGGTGCTTAAGCTGGGCTCAAGTGCACCGCACTTGACTGAATCAAGCCTTTGCAGAAGAGAGGAGGGAATATATAGCTTTCAGCTGAGCGACTCCTGAAACTAGATCATTTGGCGCTGATGATAATTTGCCATTTGATTGTGTTAAGTTGTAGCAGTGTGGTCTCCTCTTTATCCATAGCTCATTACTGCTAATTAAAGTTCTATATGTGTATCAGAGGGGAGACTTTAGCATTGAGTTAAAAAAATGGACCGTTTCCAAGATCCGGACATTACGTGCATGGAGAGCACTCGGTGGAAGAAGCTGTAATTGAATAGATTACCAGAGCCCGATGACTCTCACATCTTGTACCCTTTTATTGAAAATATATTTTTATAATATGCTTTTTATATTTCAATTTATTATTAAACTTCCTTGAAGATTAACACAATCTGTTGTCAAATTTTTCTCTTGCGGCCTGATTGCTTTGCAAAATACCATATCCTACATATGGCCATCTGTCAAAACAGCAGTAACAAAATGAATTAATCTGAATTGCAGATGTGTTAATGAATCCCTTTGAAGGACTTAAACATTTAATTAAAAGTAAAGCGGAACACTATAGAGTAATTCTGAAGCTTTTAAACTATTCTGGTTATCTTTAAGACTGGAATTTTATTTTCAGGCACAACATGTATTTTTTTTTTATTTTTTTTTATCTGTTGTAAATCTGATTAAAAATACAAACAAAGTTGACACGGTGTGTAGTTTTGACTTGACAGTCATTAAATAGAGTTTTAAGATATTAACACCATGGTATCAAATGTTTCACACTCCATCCTCCCCCCCAAAAATACACTCCGGAAATTGCCGACTGCCTTGTGAGCAGACTGGCTTTGAAGACAGTAGTGTAGAAAAAGGGCCCTCTGTAAGGTCATGTTCTTGTATTATATTAACATGAAACAAACAGTTACATTCATGCGCTTGGACACACAGATGTGCCCGTGCCCTTAGAGAATGCCTTTTTTTAGAAGGATCTTAATATTTCTAGCATGTTGCATGAGCAGAAACGGCTGCAGAGCAGGTCTAGTTACAAAGCTGATTTGTGACCACATGTAATGAATGATCAGCTGTCACTAACTTAGTCCTGGATCTTAGCAAGGTACCAAGTGCTTCCCAGACTTTACGTGCGTGATGAGTAAAATTGCCAGTGCCAAGCGCTAAAAAATGATGAGGGGTTTTTTTTCTAATTATTTATTTTAAATAAGAAACACAATTAGAATACTTTTTTTATCTGCTGCATCTTGAAGGTGCATTTCTGTCACATTTTTCAAGTTTTTTTTCCACAATGGGAAGGGCTAGAAACTTTAGCTAAAGGAAGGAAAGAAACCATACCTTCGCTTCTAATAGCCTGCTCTAAAAACTGGGGATTTAGGAAGAATACAAAATATGAAATCCACGCTCGAACTGCAGAAGTCTTTGACCCTGGAGTCATCCCATTGACTTCAGCAGAAGTACCGATGCTTAAAGTTAGGCACGTGCTTAAGTACTTTGCTGAATTGTGGCCTAAAATACTTTGATGATTAACTGAGCAACAGTTATTGTTGAGGTTGACCCCCTATAAGACCTTGTGATCTGTGCACAGCAGATTTGTTCTTCCAGGCAAGTCTGCTATTTTGTTAAAGTGATATTGCAATGGTAAAAAATAGATGGTATCTTACATGTAAAGATAGGGGTTAGAGACGACCGAGTAACACTTAATTAAAATGAAGTCAAAGTGCCTGAAAACATTTTTTCAGTTTTCAGCATCCACCTTCTTGTATTTATAGTTTCTTCTAATGCTGGACATAAGATTTCCCTCGCGCAACCCCAGAACCTGTGCTGTGATGGTGGAAGTGGTTTACGTGATCTCAAAAAGAACTTTGTAGAAAACTCTTTTTTAAAGTTTTTTTTCCAAGAGATTCATGCATTACGGGAGGGCGGGGGAAAGTTGAATAAGCCAACCGTTGTTTTAATCCACAGTCCCTGTGACCTTTGCAGTAGTATGTGCAGAAGCCTAACAAAATATGCATATCGGTTGAGTACGTTTTAAGTGAAGTTGAACAAGAAAGCAGATGCATTAAGCTTTGCAAAATTGTAAAATTGATATTGCAGCTATGTCACCTTCGCCTGCAACTGGACTGAGCAAGGGTGAGAGAGAGAGAGAAATCAATTCCACGAGTTTTGGAGAATGTAAGGATGTGTTGAGAACGTGTCTTGTGTCTCGTCTCGTGTCTCGTGTTGGTATTGCTGCTACTCTGCCACGGGGGGCCATTTGTGGCCAAGGGTGGTTCAGAAGGGCAAAAGGCGATGGTTAACGAGGAATGAAGGCACCACGTAGTTGCTTTGGCTTTTCATTGGCAAGCAACAGACCATAGGCACTTGCAAGCACCTCCATCCACTCTGATAGTCTTCCACGAACCTTCCCTACAGGGCCCTGTTGATGGCATGGAGTCAGTCAATGCCACTGGTCTCGTTCCTCTTCACCGCTTGCACAAAACTCCCTTGACTGCTTTTGCGTGTTATTCAAAACGGTGGCTCCTAAAAGTAGGTTGGCAGTCACCACCCATCTAGGCTGACACTAAGGCGGTCTTCGAAGTAGGTGCACCTACTGGGGAGTTGGATTGGAGCTCGGCAACTGAACGAACACATCCGGGAGTCCTCTTTCTATACCAAGATTCAGAAACTTTTGTTTTAACCCACAAAACGATCTGCCTGAACCTTGGGAGCACTCTGGTTAATTTTACAAAGCAGTTACAGTCTTGTGTTACTCATATAAAGTCTTTGCGACTGAGTGGGGGAAGAGTGGGGGTTGTTTTAGCAAATTGGACTCCATCAGTCAATCGCCTAATTGGCAAATGGATGCAAAAGCTGCCAAGGGAGTTTTGTTTGCCCGCCCACCCTGTGTAAGTGTGTGTGTTGTGTATGTTGTGTTTGTGTCCCCCCTTCCTGTAGTCTTTCGTAGTAAAATGCATTGCTGGGTAAATGCACTTCGTGGTAGACCTTATGTTTCATTGCTCTGGTTTGAAGCACACATTTACGCCTCTGTTTGTGTTACCTTGAGTGGCTGCTCATAGACTAAAAGGTACCTGGATGAGGAACATAAGGCAACGTTTGGCAAGACTGTAGATTTGGCAAATGTGTGAAGCGATGCTGAGAAAATGGGCCCATGCTGGCGATCTCTGTTGAAGCCATTTTGTTTCTGAAAGGCAGGGCATGCCCTCTAATTGGCTTAGCCAGAGTCTGCCAAAAAGCCTGTGAAATGTTAGACAGAACTTTTCGAAAGTGTCTGCATAATTTCATGCTTGGATTAACCAAAGACGACAACAAACACCAATTCATTTATGGTCTCAATTCTGTTACAGGGGATGTCCTAATTTATAGCAAATAGCCTTCAGCCACGTAGTCCTGACTGGTAAAGACTACCAACTTCCAGTCTGCTCATCACTTCTATTATTCAGTAATTGTATTTGGAGAAAAATTAGTTTATGACTTCAAGAGGTGATGCATATGAATTTAAGCTTAGTTTTTAACCACAAAGCAATCAAACAAGAAGGTATAGGATGCAAAAAAAAAAAAATGCATTTCAGTCGAGGGCTGTAACAAAATCTGAATAAAAATGCCAACTCCCTGACACCCAGGACTTGCACTCACCTGTTCATTGCATTTCCACTCGTCCATGTTGTGGATTCATGTTGCAGTTTAAACTCATTGGTGAGTTGCTGAAAGAGGAAGCATCAGAGCCAGACTGAAGTCTACTGTATAAAGCACCAATCAATTAGACCCAAGCTTTTTGTACGACAGACACTGACAGCATTAAATGCAATAAGAACCCAATCCTGAGCTCATGGACATCAATTAAAAGATGCTTGTCGACTTCCATGGACTTTGAAAAAGGCCTTTAATGAAGAGAGCTAGTTTACTTGTTTTTAGATACCGGCATTGATTTTTATTTGATTATCAACATGCACCCCAGCCATAAATATTTTCCAACGTCCTTGATATTCATATTAAGCATCATTCCTTTACCAAAGATGCAAACAGCTGGCCAATACAAGAATAACTTCTGCCATTAATTATAAATCATGGGGGGTTATTACAAAATTAATCAGTGTTACAGTTACTAACCAATAAATATTAAATGAACCTGAAGGTGTCTTCTGATATGATTTAATGTTAACAATTAATTTTGCTTTAAAATTATATATATATAATCCGTGCTTTCTTTCCTTATATATATATAAAATCTTTGCTTTCTTTCCTTATATATATATATATATATATATATATAAAGGAAAGAAAGCACGGATAACTTCATTTAAATTATCTATGTTCAGTTGCACTTCAAGGTTATCCCTTTAACGTATGTAATATTCAGTGTAGACATTTTGCTTGTGTTCCGTACTAATAAGTAGGTATAGTTGGGCTCTTCTGCGTTTCCAGCTGCCTTTGTCTGCTCAGTAGAAAACGAGACGTTTTAAAAATCCAGGTCCACAGCATCAGCTACATTGACTTCACTGGCACTCCTCCGATTCACACCAGCTGAGGATTCATCCCCTAGCTATTTCAAGAGCCATCAGCTAGGAAACTATGCCCTACAAAACCTAATGATGACAGTAGAAATCATAACAGCAAGCTCTTGTTTCTTTTTTTTTCTTCCATAAAAAGAAAAGCATCTGTATCATGTTGCTAATGGCATTATCCTCTCTTATAGAGACACGTTTACAAAAGGCTGTTGGACTTATTAGCGACTCTAATACAGATGAATACTAATATCACGGTGCTAAGCAAACAGCAAGAGCTTGTAGCACTTCTCAATCTCCCGCCCGTTGTTCAAACAGAAGCCGTGGAGTTCTTAGCTGCAGTTTACAATTTAAACCTATGAACGTGCTTAGTTACACCTTGAAGCCTTGGACCTCTCTGATTAGATATTCCCAGCTAGCGAGCCTTGTTAAGGAGCAGAAATCAGAGCAGCATACCTAATAGATAACTTCAGGACCCATCACCTCCTACAGTCAAATCCTCAGAAACAGTGGAGGGTGGAAGGATCTCTGGCAAGGGTAACCGTGCTGCAAATTTTTCTCCGTTCGTGCTATCCCTGGGTGGGAAGGGGTGGAACAGGTTCTCAGCTGCTGCTTTGCTTTGAGATCTGCCATCCCTCGCCCTACCCCACCTCCGAGAGCCATAGTTTGAAGGCTGACAAGGCCAGAAACGAAAGGCTTCCATCCTTCTGTCCTAATGTAGCAGTGACAAGTCAAGGAGATGAGTAATTTCCCCTCTACCAATGCACACATGCATGTGCATGCACACTGTTCTCTGCAGGAAGATGCATCCGGGTGTTGATTCAAACCCCCTGAAGCCAATGCAAAGACTCACAATGATTTCAACGGGCTTTGGATCAGGTCCCAGGGGAACGTAAGCAGAGCATTCATGAGGGAGCTCCATGGGGGTCAGGTGGCTTTCATCCAGAGTCCCACATGGAGGCAAACTGTAGACGATGGTTAGTCCTTCATGGCATTGCTTCTGCAATGTTTCTTTGCTCAGAGTCTAGTGGTCCCCCCCTGTTCTCCCTCATTGCTGGTGAGTTGTACCTAACTCCACAAGTCATTAATGGGACTCTGTAGAAACATGCTATTTGCTATAAGCGTGGGCCCTTAAATACGGCGTCTTGTCTCTGGTTTTATCACTCGTAATACAAGAAAAACGATAGAACTTGGAGGACTTTGGGTTTAAGCTAACAGCTTTCCTACTAAAGGTTGTAATAACATTTCTCTTTCCTTCTGTTCCTTCAGTTCCAGATTATCAAGAACAGGATATCTTTCTATGGAGAAAGGAAACTGGCTTCGGATTTAGGATTTTAGGTGGAAATGAGCCTGGAGAACCGGTGAGTGCTTTTGAAAGTGGACTTGTTTCCAAGTCCCTGCCAAAACGCATGCAGGCATACCCTGCTCTGTCCGTTCGGTCCTGAACAGACAGCACCCATCCAAATACTCCAGATTCGGAGGAGACTAAAATTCAGCGCTGGCCCCGTGTGCATGTTACAGGCTAGGCCAGCCCCCAGATCTTAACACATCCCCACAGAGGTGGAAAGTGATTTTTCCAATCAGTTTTTCACTAGGTTCCTGTTTTACTATTTGACCTTAAGAGCAGTCTCTCTCGGTCTCTTTTATCTTTCCCTGAATTAAGTTGGTTTCTTAGCTGTAAATCTAGCATCCCGGAAAGGTGCCAGACTAAAAGCACCTAATTTTCTGTCTGTTTGCTGAGCAGGTCAAGCATACAAAGTGTCAGCGCGCATTGCTGCCGGCTGCCCTGTCGATGTGCTTCCTGTCCATTTCTGGGGAGAGGGAAGTCACGGTTTCCTTTCATGCCGCAGCAGCGTTGCTGAGCTCAGTGGCGATAAACCGAAGCCAACCTGGTGCATGTGAAAGGAGCTGAGGTGATGAGCTCTAGGGCCAATGAAGAGATTGATTTAGAGTCCAGATTGCTTCTTGGTCTCGCTGCTCCGATTGACGATGCTATTGCTAATCGTTCTGTGCTGTTATTTAGTCTCTTTCGGGAAATGCATCCTCTCAAGGCAGGTGATGAGCCAGAGTGAAGGGATCTTGCACGCGGTTATATCCCAGCGATAAAGAACAAGGGAAACACCTGGTTCTCCTTCGTTTCACAGAGGGCTTTATTCAGAACAGCTGATGGATGTTGGTCACTTGTGCCCGCTGCTGATTTGGGTTATACACAACCCAGGGCTTTCAATCTCATTCCCAGTCCCCCCAAGCTTCCTTAGCCGTCTGATTGTTGAATACGTCCCTTTTTTTTCTCCCCCGATAGATTTACATTGGTCACATTGTACCATTGGGTGCTGCCGATGCCGACGGTCGCCTGCGATCCGGAGATGAGCTGATCTGTGTCGATGGGACTCCTGTGGTTGGAAAATCGCACCAGCTCGTCGTCCAACTTATGCAGCAGGCTGCCAAGCAAGGCCATGTCAACCTCACTGTACGGCGCAAAGTCGTATATGCAGGTACGTTCAGTCTGATTATTTTCCAGTCTTAATCCAGGGAGTTTACGGGTCAGAAACCCTAAACCTCCATCTCAAAACAGTTGTATTTCCATTTTTATAGTAAGTGTGAATGCAGACGTTATTGCACCTTCCAGCTGACTTTTATCCTTTTTTTTTCTGCCTTTTTGAATGCTTTAAAATATGACACATTTTAAATACGAGTATCTTTAGGCAAGATCTGGGATTTTTTCTCTGCACACCTTTCAGGTATGGGTACGCTATTCATTCCTAATATGCTGCAATTAATAGCTTGGTTGTATTACAGTGAGTTCTTGACGCTCTGTCGTGCACCGGTTTTACAAGCACACCGTAAAATAGTGCCCCTCCCTGAAGACCTTTTCATTGACATAGTTCAAACACGGGCTGGGAAAGGAAAGAGAGGCATAGAGAGGGGAAGGAAGTACTTTGCTAGTTCAGTGATGGAGCTGGGAGTGAAATATATTTACAAATGAAGTCACGTTTCAGTGCCCTGACCCCTGGGCCGTGCTTCTCTGGTAGAGAGAACATTAAAAAATGATGCCAAGTGAGAGTCATTTGAAATCCTCTCCTTTATTTTTTTGTGTTGTAAGTAAAGTTCCAGTGGTTGCACATTCACAAATTGATGCAGGACAGAAATGTATCCTTCGCTGCCAATGAACAGGGCCCGAACATGGAAGAACAGCCAAGCCAAGAACAAAGCATGGTTTTGTTCTTGCAAATCTACAAAAATGTGCTGTTATTAAAGAAAGCCGGGACATGACAACGAGGTTGCTAGATGACACTTGATTTATGTGTTGCTAGTGACAGTTAATAGTAAGTGCTGGGATTTCCTTCCACCTCAGTCCAAATTTCAGAGTTGGATCTTGGTCTAGGCCCATTTCTAGACAAAAAGGACGTGGAGCAGACTTCCAGGTGAGGTGTCAACAAAAAGACAGGGAATGATGTACTTGAAGCCTAAAGGAGGATCAAAATAACCTTCTGGTTGAAAAGATCCTTGTTTCTCTCCACTGGACTTTGGGTGGACTTCTGGCAGGCGGCGTTACATCCATGTTTGGTTTCTTTTCCTTTATACTGTCAAAATGTAGTGCGACTGTACACCATGGAGCTAATGCATCTCAGTTGTTTCCAGTCTTACCATTTTAGATAGCCTAAAGAGGAGCGTTTTGCAGAGTTAGGTTTACTTGACTTCTTTATTGCATGTAACCCAGGCTGGAAACAATCACAAAAAGGTTTAGATGGTTGAAATACATATTTTTGTATCTAGTGACTTCTCTAAACGTGGGATTATTCATGAACAACTACTTGCAAAGAACTGCGCAGAGGAACATCTCTTTGGCAATAAGTCCGTCCTAACTTAAGGGATGACGTTGTGATATTCAACAGAAACACGCTGAACCCACGTGATTCAGATCTGAGATGTCAGTGAGGTTCACACACAGAGTTACACTGGTTTCACTAAATCACAATTTTAGGATATAGGCATGGGAATAATTTACCATAGGCCAATTAGGGGTAGGGTTTCCCCATTTATCAGCTGGTCCGGGGTAAGCACCTATGTGCAAGCTCTCACCTTGCAGTAATTGCCCTTTGTTCATGGAGGGTTAGCCCACCTTTCACTTCACAGCGAATTGTTCATTGCTCCGTTGCCTCTGTAAATTAGCATGAGGCTTCAGTGTGCAACTTGAGCCACGTGAGAGCATGTTTGTGCGAGTGTACAGGAGTGTGGGTGTATTTCCAGGGCCGTTTCAGAACGACCAGCAGTTCCAGCAGCATCTGGCATGAGCAGATGTTGACCCGGTTGGAGAGATGCCTGTCCTGTCATTTATCCCAGGCCCTTTATTTTTTGTAGCTGAACTTCATCTCCGTACCGCTAAAAACACCAGGGCCATGCCACCGACGCGGTGAGAATTGTGCTTTTTTCTTGCAGTTCCAAAGGCAGAGAACGAAGTCCCTTCTCCAGCCTCCTCGCATCACAGCAGCAACCAGCCTGCTTCTCTGACAGAGGAAAAACGTACCCCGCAGGGAAGCCAAAACTCCTTAAACACCGTGAGCTCCGGCAGCGGCAGCACCAGCGGCATCGGCAGCGGAGGGGGTGGCGGCAGCGGCGTGGTCAGCACGGTGGTGCAGCCGTACGACGTGGAAATCCGGCGTGGAGAAAACGAAGGCTTTGGCTTTGTCATCGTGTCTTCTGTGAGCAGGCCGGAGGCGGGGACGACCTTCGGTAAGTCCTGAAAGCTGTCGCTCTAACGAGACGAGGGGATGCATGCTGCAGTGCACCGAGGCTAACGAGGGTGTAAATTAAAATTCATCGGTGTCATATTTGGAGGCTGAGAGTTAGTAGGTGCTGGCCTCCTGGGTTTTGTTGAGCCCTGGGATCCGAGGAGTGGGACCTTGTGAACTCTGACTAGCAGCAGAGCCAGGAGTGCTAGTGCCTGGCGCTCCTTGAGATCGCTTTCGGGCAGGTTGGCAATAAGTACGAATTGAAATTTTAGATTTCTCTCCCAGCAGAGGAGTAGGAGGATCCCAGAAAAAGGGAGCGTTGAGTCCAGTGGAGCAAATAACCTAGTAGAAATGCTGCCTCTGATCCATGGAGGGCCCATAGATTTGCAACCAGCCCCTCCTAAAAGTGATTAACTCCTCTCTGCATTTCAGAGGGATGCTCCTAACTGCCCTTAAGGGTATGAGCATGCTGATCGCTAGGGATTGGTGCATTATTAGTGCTTGCTGTGATGGAAGATAATGAAAAGTTGCATCAAAAATGATAGCTCATTGCCTTAGCTTGGCCTGCCCTCCATCTCCTCCTCCCAAGCACATGGTTGCATAGAATAGGGAATAACAAGTATTTTTTTCCTCTGCTTCTTCAGTGGATTTGGCCACTTAAAGGCAAGCCCATGCATCAACATGGCCTGTTTGTGCATACTTCCCTGGGCCTCCTTCTAGCTGGGACGCTGCATTGCAAGGGAGATTTCTAATTCTTCCTCCAGACGCTAAGAGGGATTGTTGGGAAGAGCAGTGTGAAATATAAAATATACTGCACTGTTCCTCCCTGAAGAGACTGTGATGAGCTGATGTAAAGAATGATGTTCGTTCTAGGCAGAACCATTAGCTAAATGAAAGCTGGTGTAATGTAACCTCTCCAGGGGTTCCTCACTTGATATATTTTGACCTGTGACTGTGTCTCCTTGAATTTTCAAGTACATCAAACTTTTTCCCGATACTCTGCATGAGATGCTTTGCCCTCAGCTATGCAGTGCTTGCCTTGTCCCTGTAGTTTTTGTGCCTCCTTCATGGGTTGTCTTTAGAGATGGGCTGAACTGGTACCGAAGCTCCCCCTGGTCCCCTTAGTGTGGGGTTTCACATCCATGGTCAATACACTGGATCGACTAAATATTCATTTCTGCTTCTGAAACCCACACGACCTCGACTGAAAGCAAGCCGGGCTTTGTCTTGCAAGGAGAAACTTGCTCGCTGTTAAGAAACGGCATCCCGTGTCTAATCACCCTTGCAGCAAGTCACGCATGTGCCTCTCCAGCCTTGTCACATTACCTCATATCCCATTTTTAGCCCTTTCTTTATAGTTTTTTCAAGTATTACTACATCTGTAACAGCGCATATCTCTAAAACTACTAATCAAATAAAGGATTACAGCCGAGCTGCGCAAGCGCATCTTGAGGATGGATGCATGGTGGATACAGCCGTCATCTCACGCCGCACCATCTCATGCTCTACTGACTGTGGGCTATGTATATAGGGCTTGCCAGCAATGCAAGGAAAGCTGGAGGGGTCATATGTCCTGAGTTGTGTGCATCCTCCATTTGCAGGGCTAGGTGACTGTTGTGAGCTGTCCTGTGTCTGCCGTGCATTCATCCCAAAATGCCCTTGCTGGATGCATCTCGGAGACATTCGGACTGTTTTGCTTGTGGTTTTAGAGCTGTTGAAGCCAGGGGTCTGCATTCAGTCCCTGCTTCTCTTCCCCAACCAAATCAACTTTTAAGCTCATAAAAGGGGAAGAATTAACAGTGGTTATGAGGTGGTGGGTGGTACCGAGCAGGTCCCGCGTGTCAGTCTTGGCCCATCTCTAGTGGTCCTGTGCCTTCCCTAGTGCTTCCTTTGTTCACAATGAAAGAACTGGTTTCTCACTGCTCACCCCACGCGACACTGGTAGATTGGGTCTTTGTGGTGAAAGTGGGAGTTTGACTCCGTAGCAGGCATAGTGATGATCTTTCCAAACTGAGAAAGAACAAAACATTGGCAGAAGCTCGAGCAGCCACTGGCTCAATGGAGGCCTGGAGAGGCTGACACCGTTACCATCTCAGACGAGTAAGTTTGAGCCCTCTATTAGCAATTTCATATTTTGCAAATGCAAAAACAAAACTTTAATTGGATGATTTTCAGGCTGCCAAGTGCAGCTGTAGTCTATAAAAATGCCGCTGTGTCTAAAGAAACCAGAGGGCGAGACTCTTGGTGGATTGGTGCAATGCCTCCCCGTAATGGCAGTCAGTTAAAGCAAAGCCCTTTGCCCTCACAGTCGATTGCCAATGTTTTGAACACTGGCAGCCAAGCTATCCTTTAATAACTTTTGCTTGATGCATTAATTAATTAACCCTTAACCTTCTCTTTCCCGTTTCAACCCTTTTTCTCCTTTTTCCTTTCACCATATTCCCATGTATATAAACAATTAAAAACCAACCAAAAAAAAAACCAAAACCCACAAAAAACAAACAAACAATACAATACAAAAGCAGGAAATGCATGTGTGGCCATGCCTCACAAAATAGGTCGGATAATTGAGGGGAGCCCTGCAGACCGCTGTGGCAAGCTGAAAGTAGGGGACCGGATCCTGGCCGTTAATGGATGCTCCATCACCAACAAGTCGCATTCGGACATTGTCAACTTGATTAAAGAAGCAGGAAACACGGTCACTCTGCGCATCATTCCAGGCGATGGTAAAGTATATGTTCATCTGTCTTTGTTCAAATGCTTTGCTTCTCCTTGGCTTTTCTGGTCAGTTTGAGGTTTCCATTTCCATCCTACCAGACTTGTGATCTGGTCATGTTTTGTTTCTCTGAGATCCCGTGCTTTTGCAGTCCTGGAGCTGTCTCTTTATAGCCTGTTTCTGTCGATATATAATAGCAGCCTCCACCTCCCTGCAGGGGGGCTGCAAAGAGGATGGAGCTGGGCTGGTCTCAGTGGGGGCAGACGACAGGACAAGGAGCAATGGGCTCAAGTTGCAGCAAGGGAAGTTGAGGTTGGATATTAGGAAAAACTTTCTCACTCGGAGGGTGGTGAGGTACTGGAATGGGTTACCCAGAGAGGTGGTGAACTCTCCATCCTTGGAGGTTTTCAAGATCTGGCTAGACACTTGGCTGGGATGATGTGGTTGGGGCTGGTCCTGTTTGGAGCAGGGGGTTGGACTAGATGTGACCTCCTGAGGTCCTTTCCAGCCCTCGTTGTCTGTGATTGTCTGAATATGACCCACACCCTTGTTGACGTTCAGCCTTTGCTTGGTTCTTGGGTCTTTCATAAGAGATCACAAAAGGGAATAAGTGTACTGTTGTGTTTTGAAGCTGTTTGGAAAGATGATGTGCAGGTTGCTTTGGGAATGATCCTGGTCCAGCATGAAATGATTTTGTCAGGGTGCTTTGATCCTGGAGGTGTTTGCCGGCTCCCAGCTGACTATTTTAGGAGACCCAGAGTCCTTATTATAAATAAAGAAACGTGTCTGCCTTATATCTAGGATTCCCCAAGCCTATCCTGACCATGACATTAAGAAGGCAGGAGACATAAATGCCGGGAAACTTCTGTAGTCAATTAAATTATTACGAATCCCTCTACTTTTCATTGATTGCAGCGTTATGCACTGGATTGATCCATAGTGTAAACTTGCTTTGCAGAAATTTTCTCGTGCTACCTGGTTCTTTTCAAGCAAAATCAATGGTTATGACATTTGACGGCATAGATACAATTCTAATGAGCATTTTTAGAATCACGCAGTACGTTATTTGCAGTCCAGAAAACTCAATTAAATATAGAAAGAGGGTGATTAAGGAGAAATTGGATTGAGTAAGATAGTTCATTGCAACCAAAACTATTAAACGAGATCGTTTCACTCCACCGTCTGACTTGGAAACAGCTTGCTGTCACTTATACTTCGCTCTCTATCTTCCAAGCCATGTTTCATACGGCATCTATGAAGTGTGCTGTGGCAGTGAACGCTTTTAAAAGACTGGAGAGAAATTGTGAATTGAGCCTGGGATTTTCAAAGGGTCACGAAAGATTTACACACCCTATTTCCTGTGTAGTGAAGGGGGAAAAAATAATAATTCAATGGTGCCTAAATCTCTCTGGATCCGAGATGAACCCGTGGTTCCAGCTGTGATTTCTAAAGCAGCCCAGGAGCCTGATTGTCATGCTTTTAGTTGCGAAAATTAAAATGTACTGAGACTAGACATGTCCTGTTTATTTATAGCTAAGACAAAATATACTGCGTGTGTATAAGGCTTTTTATGCTGGTCAAATGGTATGTGAGCCTGTGCTGCTTCCAGCAAATTGAGTATTCATGAATAATACAATTACTATATATCAGATAAACCAGAGTCTGAACAGGCCTACATGTGCCAATTTTAGAGGAACGACTCTGACAGACAAATGGTTCATTATCTTGTTCTAGCATCTGACCCAAACTGAGAAAAAATGATATCTGAAGAGGGGGAAAAAAAATCTTGAGTGGTTGGAAAATCTTCCTATCAGAGAAGTTTTCCTGTCTCATGCGTTCTCAGTCATTGCACATGGCCAAAACGTGGCAGCTTTCTTCTCGGAAATCCTTCTTGTAGGATTATGGGAAAAACAAAATGCCGTATTAAACATATTTAAGCTGGGTCATTTGCAAATAAGGCTGGTCATTGAGCCATTCAGACTGAAGGGAAAGAAAGACCACAGAAAAAAAAGTAAATTAAGAAAGAAAGGGCCAAACTGTTCTCTGATGAAGAACTGAAGAATTTGGGAGGCTTTCTTCTTCCCTTTGAATGTCATGGTGTTTTTGCCAACATCAAGCATGCAAGCATCTGAGAGTCTCAGGCTAGGAGTTTATTAAGAAAAAGCCACATAACAACACAGATGAGGTTTTTAACATGCCAACTACCAAGAGACTTATGATGTGTTCACAAGTGTTGGCCCCCCATGCTCTAGGTGTGTAACAGTGCTAGGCCAGTTGCATTGAATTGTCTGCCACGCTCACAAGCTAGTATATGGGGTTGTTCCTGCCAAAACACTGAAGTGGTACCTCTTCTCCTTTTACCGTTTATCTCACCTTCTCTACCCCATTATTTTGCTGCCACAACCTCCATGCTGGCAGTCAGGGAGGACTGGTTGATAATCGCACTGGAGAACATCTGCTTTAACATTCATTCAATGCACTGAGACAAAATGTGCAAGGTAGAAAGGGAATGCCTTGCACTAAAGATTGTGGAATGGGATTGTTTTTTTCCTCTTAGGACAGCACCCATTAGGAAGCATTCATTTTTCCCTTTGATTTCTGATGCATATGGATGAGGTGCAGAATCACTACAGTGTATGCACTTGCTTCTTAATCAAGAGGTGCAACGTCGTTTTTTCCTCTGGGACAGGGTGCAGCGCAGATGATAGATCCCTAGAGAGCAGCCAGTGCAAGATCAATGGGCAGCTTATGGAGAGGCACAAATGCACACACAGCCTCTGCCCATGTACATATGTAGATACCTCTTTGATGCCCAAAAGAGTTGCACACTTCTATCCAAGGGCAGAATGTGGTCCACAGTCCATTCATATACTGTAGCTAATAATGCACTTCTTTCTGGTTTTGTCCCTGATTTTGAAAAGACTCGTGCACCTGCTTAAATTTGCCTTCCTGAGCTGTGCCCCTAAAATTGGCCTTGAAGTCAGTGGAAGTGCTCATGGTATATAAATGAATAGCCTGCAAAAGCACGTAGATGTAATAGCGCTTTTCTGTACCCAAGACAGTATTTGGCACAGAACAAAACTGGATGCAGTAGATGCCTATGTCCTTTCTAGGGCTGAACGGCCAGTGCTTTGCTGGTCCACGCTGAGCTGACTTGGTATAATGCAGCTTTCTGACTGCAGCAGCCTTTTTGGAGAAAGTAGCCTCTGTTAGGGTATGATGGTTTGAGGAAAATCTAATAGGGTACTGCAGGAGCTGTAAAGTAAGAAGTTACAGATAGCCTTTCAGCAAAGGAGACAGGGGTACTTATAGGAGCTAATAGATCTACACGGGAAGGCTACAGTCACTCAGATAGCTTTTCACTTTTTGTTTCAAGGTGGGGAAATAGGAGAGGATTTTCAGTAAAGGTGTTCCTCGTGCAGCCTGAGCCTATGTTTAAAATGTGAACCGAAATACCGCCAATCTGCTGACCCTTGCCAACTCTTGGGACACGGGAAGCTAAAGATAGACTTGTGGAACTGCATCTGTGCAGAAGAGACATTGTTGATCTGCTTGGTATGCTTAGCACAACCTACCAGGGAGCAAAAATGTTGCATTCCCTTTGAAGTCTTCGTCTCATCCCAGACTATTCACAGAAGGCTGCTGAGGCTTATGTGCTGGATGAATTCAGCACGCTTCAAAAACACGTATTGAACCCTCTTATTTTAGGGGCAGAATTTAGCATTAGGGGCATCTGAATGAATCGGGCAAAAACCCATGGTCTTAAGATCTAGCCGCTTTCTAGCGAGGTGAGCATCCTCATACAGAAGTGCTTACTTGCATTAGTGGAGCAGAGTGGAAGCTGCTCAGCTTGCAAGAGGTCTATTTAGGCCAGATCTGTACCACTCCCTGTCTGGAAACAAGGCTTGCCCACTCCATCCTGCTGCATCCAGCTAGACAGGTTGAGCGGGTCCTGAGTACACACCTTTGCACCACTCTGTCCGGTGGGTGAGGCTTGGTTTTGACAGTGGCCAGAAGAAGATGCATAGGCATCTTAGGTACCTGCTCCGTTTCCTTTGCAGCCATGCTGACTCGGCTAACAAGGAGGAGGAAACCCATACTTTATCCAGGTATCTGTAGTTAAAATATATCAGTGCAAGCAGATACCACTCTGGCATTCAGTAAATACCCAGGAAAGCTTCTGACCACCTTCTTCCTTTGATTCAAACACCAGCCACTTGCTAATGCCATTTGTAGTTGTGGGATGGCCCTCTTTTGCCGTGAACTTGCCCGTGTCCGCAGGAACAAGGAACCAGATGGCAAGAGGATGCAATTCAAACAGGAGCAGGACAGAGGAGATTGGGAGTTTTGTACTGGAGAGGCAGGCACCTTATTCTGCTTTTAACTCAGCCTGGAAGGCTAAAATTGCAATAAGGGCTCTGTTTTAAAAGAAGGTAGCAGTGATCTAGGGCTCCAGCGTACTCGGTCACTTGAATCCTTCAAATCCAGATTGCGCGTCTTTGTAAGATTCGGTTCAGCCCGAAGCCATGTCTTGGCTGGATGAAATTCTCTGCTCTGTTATGCAGGAGGTCAGAGAGGATTATCATAACGGTTCCTTCTGGCCATTAAATTGATGATGCTATGAATGAAAGCTCATTAGCAAACAGAAAATCGCCGTGGACAAGTCTAAAAGTAATCAAGAAGCTCAGCGTGGTTTGTGTGTCAAACCACAGTTACTTCAGACTGCATCCCTGAAGAGGCATAACGACGGCCTTGAGGTCTCAAGACTTTGCCATTCCTGCAAAGGGGCCTGTGCCATTTTTACAGAGAGCTCAGCTTGTTCAGTAGCATCTACCCCGCCAAGAAGAGGAGGAGGCTCCTCCCGTGAAAATCACTGTATAAGTGCTGAGTATTTATTATTGCTAATTTTTACAACTGCCTGCAGCAGGGAGGCTTTCCTAATGACCAGACCTGACTACAAAGATAATCCTAGGTATCTTTTGATTCTGTAATTGTTCCTGTCTGGGACTGCAAGGGAACGGCTTCTTCTGGTCTTTTGAATAGTGCATATTCCTGTGGCTTTCAGTGGTTCTGCTCACCCTTCTCCACATGTTCATTTTCAATTACGCTAATGGTTTCGAAAGCTAATCTAATGAAATATGGATATTTTTGTTGGCTGCGAGTTCTCTAGCCAACTTCTCTGAGACTCCCCGCACTTTTGGTTAACTCAACAAATGTAAAAGTGCTGCCTACTATTTTAAATGCACACCACTGATTTGGAGCCACTTCAGATAATGATCTTTCCTCTGAAACACCAAATCCAGTATCCTGGGAGGAATATTTGTAAGAATACAGTACTCCACCTGCACCCTTTGCAAAAGGCCATGCAGGATTTTTCAGGTTGTTTTTTCACTTGTCAAATTATCTCTCTGTGCATATATCAGGGGTGGGCAATTATTTTGGGCAGAGGGCCACTTACTGAGTTTTGGCAAGCCATCAAGGGCTGCATGGCAGGCAGCCCAGGGCAGATAAATATTAATTTTCTAAATTGGTGGGAGAGAATGGCTTGGTGGGCCACATCCGGCCCCCGGGCCGTATTTTGCCCACCCCTGGCATATATACTCGCTTAATGCCCCCCTCAGCTTTTGCTGAGGCTGTGTGCACCAAGAGTATTCAGGATCAAGTTAACATGAACTTTTGAATGCGTGTGTGAGCCATTTATTCCCAATGCTGAAATGGGCCTCAGCTGCAACATTTTGACTCTCGTTGCAAACACAGTTTCAAGGGAGATTTGTAGGTTTGGTTCGTTATAGGTTCATTGCCTTAGAGAGCCTCTAGCACCAAAGAAAATAGAAACCCGGTCTCCCATTCTTATGGCTTAACAGTGAACTGTGTGTCTTCCTCTTTACAAAAATCAGATGTGCATTTAGACTTTAACCTCCATCTTCTCCACCCCTCTCCCCCCAAAAGTGGATGTTCAAACCAATATCTGGTCTTAGGCCAGTCATTAGTTCTGAATAGGACTTTTAGAAGCACTCAGCGCTGACTTAACTCTACCGCTAGTGAAATCTGTGATCTAACTCCCCTAGCTTCCAGATGAGCTTGATTCAGACCAATTCTGAGCGCTTATTTTTGTCTATATCTAATGCCAGTTATATCATTCAAAGGGGAAGTGTTTGGCCCTGAATGTACAATATACTTTGCAAAGAACAATAAGGGCTGGAACATGGAGTTTGCTAGATACTTGAGAAGTGAGGAAATCAATAGTCTTTCAGGTCCAACACAGGAAGTCAATAGAGAGTTCCCATCATCTTCAATAAGGTTTGGATCAAGATTGTATTCGATATCACCCATAACTAAAGTTATAAGTTCAGAGGAAGAGAGGCACTGGTGGTGTGATATTTTCTCTTGCTCCTATAAAAAGATCCAATATGATCTTCCCAATTTGGAGACGGTTGTGGGCTGGGATTCATATTGTTAATCACAAAATAAAATACTGGAAGATCTTTATTCGTCTTTGGAGAGTCCACCTTTGCTTAAAGTGGGGCAAGGGGAAAGGAAATGCATCTTGCCCAAACAGCCTGAACGAATTCGTAAATTTTTTTGTGCTGTTTTTAGATTTTTTTTTTGTTTGCGATTGATGAAAACACTGATGAATTTGGTTACTGGAGAAGAAATCCAATTTACATAAAATATAATATTCATTACATTAATGGAGCGTCTTGCTGTATGCAGTTTACATTTACAAGCTCGGGCAGTGTTTCTGGCGCAGGCTTTTTTATTATTGTTACTTACTTGGATGATAATGGGATTGGAGATGGTGTCTTCAACATTCAACATTTTTCTTTGTTACTGACAAGGCGTGGGCTACAGCAACAGCAGATATTGTGACAACATTTTCCAACTGGTTAGTGTCTAGGAGCCTTTTTTTTATTATTAAGATAAAAAAGGTGGAAATGAAACTGTGGAGCTATCCTGTAGATCTAATAATGATCACAAGAAAAAGCTGGGCAAAGAGGAATATAGCATGCAAAATTCAAGTCTTGGTTCAACAGCTGTATTTACATAAGGCCATGGAACGAAAGACATTTTACCATCCTTCTTGTATCAGCATTTCTTTATTAAAGGCTCCCTATATACTTAAGGGTTTCTGGGCAATTGTTGCACAGTGTGTTTTTAGATAAATGCTTAATGGTTATCTAGTTATATAATTCCCTTTTCAATTATTGGGCATAGGAAATATGAACCCGGCATATCCCTCTAAGGCACACTCTTAACAAATGCATTTGATACTTCCCAATGAAATGCCTTGGCAGAGCCCGCATTAGTCTTTGAATGAATTATTTAATTAAGATCCTCCCTCACGGTGCCATCCGTTTTATTTCACAGAATCCTCCAATGCGACATTATTGACCAATGCAGAAAAAATTGCTACCATTACAACCACGCATACTCCGCAGCAAATACCACAGGAGAACAGGTCAGCTCCTTTCTTTGATGCTCTCTCTCTTTGGTTACTTCTCAGTCATCTCCATTTCCCATGAGCCGTCTGTTTTCTCTCTCTTTCTCTCTCGATCATTTCAACAGGAACAACACAAAACCAAAGCAGGAGTCCCAGTTTGATTTCAAACCACCCCAAGCAGCACAGGTAAGAGCCGCCTTTCTAATTTGCTTTGTTCACCACGCAGCCTTGTCTCCAAGCTGCTAGAGCTGTCTCCTTCTGAAAACCCTATTGCGAGGCTATATTCCCTCACCCAGTCGGGCTGAAAAAAGAAGGCTCGCTGATTAGCTTCTTAATGAGGGCTGATGTTGTTTCAGATGACAAACACTTCAACTGCAGAGGTGCAATCACGACTGAAAACAACGGCAGCTAATATTGTACGGCAGTAATAATTTATGTGTTTGTTTGCTGCAGTGTGGGTTTTGAAGGGGGCTATTGTGCACAGAATAGATAGATTCAGAAGACCAAACAATATCGGAGCTTAGGGAGCGGGCTGCACTTGGGGTGCCGTGACTTATTTTCACCATGTAGGCCACATCTTATTAAAAAGACTCTCTCACAGATGCATCCCCTTCCATTGGCAATTGCAGAGATAACCTCTCCCGTTAGTGATGGCTGAGCATCCTCATGGGAGAGGAGCATCACTTCTGCTGTACAGAGAAGTCTTGCCTGCACTTTAGCTGTCTTTAAGGGAACGTACCAGCTGCTAACAAGGAGGGAGAGGCATTCCCGGATGTCCAAGCTGTTTTCCACAGACTGTAATCAAGCACTCAATTTGGGGCTTCAAAAGCAATGCCCTTCTGTGGCAACAGATCTTGATTTATTTATTTTTTTTAATTTTCGTTTTATTGAAACAATGCAATGTCCAACATCGAATATCTTCCAAGCAGGAAATAGAGCAGAGTTCAACTTCTTGTTCCTTTCTGTCCAAATTACCTTCCTCGCAGCAGGACCAAGATTTTTATACCGTTGAGTTGGAAAGAGGAGCCAAAGGGTTTGGCTTTAGCCTGAGAGGCGGTCGAGAGTATAATATGGATCTCTATGTATTGCGGTTAGCTGAGGATGGTCCAGCGGAGAGATGTGGGAAGATGAGGGTATGTATAACAAGGAGTTTGAAAATCTCATGAATTGCAGCAAAAGTCGTTTCTTTGCAATTTCTTTTTCTGCTGGTCTGAATAAAATTGGGATGGATTTAAAGCATTTTTTTAAGCCAAGGGGATTCCTTTCCTAGAGTCCTAGAACTAGCTCCCGTGGTAGTCAGTGGGCAATTGCATACAAGCCTTTAGAGGAAGAGGTTAACAACGGATGCTCTGCTCAGCCTTAAGCAGAGGAACTTCCTGGGACTTGACGCCACCACGATCCACAGTCAGTCCCATTTCTCAGCCAAGTAACGTGACCTGAAATGGTAGCAGGAGGGAGCTAGAATTTTGTTTGATGCAGATTGTAACAAACCCCATTTCTGTAGAGGCTTAGTAAGATTTAAGCACCAAGGAACTGCAATGGCCAACACACCGAGGACTGAGGACCAATCTTGGTCAACACACTGAAGACTGAGTCAGGGTCCTCCAGAGCTGAGTGCATGAGTTGTTACACTTGAGCTAAAAAACCAGTAGGTCCTAGCTGGGGCTGCAGTGCACTAATACCTTCCACTCAATGGGGAGAGAGAGAGAGAGATCTGTAAGATGCACTCACCAGAGAGTTACAAAGGATAGCATAATTTTTCATTGACGCAGCCATTGACCTGACCTTCCACCTCTACTTCCCCTTTGTGTATGATATGTTATTGTGTTACATATATAAACACGGACTAGATAATATGATTATATAGACACAGGACTATATAACATGATTCCACTGAGATTGAGCACGTTTAACTTAACCAAAAAATATAATTTAGTAAATTGGAGACTTCGATGATGACATACTTAGAGAAAAAGGTCCCCCATAGTTTTTGTAGGTTTGCATGTACCATGCACAACCCCAGCATTATCTGTCGCCATAATTTTGTGACCAAAGTATTCTGTCTTTCCGAGCACAGTGCAAGGGGTTCTGCAATTTGGAAAGAGTCTTGGTTAAGGAAAGACCTTCAGGACCAGACTTTCCACTGAGTTAAATATGGGTGAAATTAGTATGCAGAGGGTCCACTATGTAACTGTTATTTTTGTTTCTTGATAAGCTGTTCAATATCTAAAACCAGGGTTGCAGATTTATATCGTGCCTTGACATCCAAGTGAGAAGAGGCCCCTGGCCCTCCCAATGAGTAGCTGTAAGACAGCCAGAAAATACTCTCAAAAAGATTGGCCTACAAATACAGGTAACCCCTGGGTGATAACCCAGCGGCTGGAGTGCTGGGCTGCTAAGGCAGAAGCCCTAGGTTCAAGACAGCTCTTCTCCCTGGTTATCTACACCCCTCTTAAGTGGAGGCCTTTAAGAGTGGACCCAATGACTTCTGAGTTCCCTCCCAGCGCTGTGAATCTATAAGAGTTTGCATTTTCCATCGACACTCAAAAGCTCCAATGCCAATATAGTGCTATGCTAACACTGCGGTCCTTTAATTGACACACTTGAGGGGATGCACTTGTGCCACGGCCCCGTTTTAATCCCTGATTCTGCTCTTTCATCATGTTGACAGATTGGCGATGAAATTTTAGAGATCAACGGGGAGACCACCAAGAACATGAAGCATGCTCGGGCCATAGAACTGATTAAAAATGGTGGCCGTAGGGTCCGCCTCTTTCTGAAACGCGGAGATGGCTCAGTACCAGAATATGGTGGGTCAAACTATGAAAACATTCCTTTCTATCCCGGCATCTCTCCATGAATGATTTGTCTCAAGATCTGAAGCGGGGATTCTTTTAATTTTCCTTTCTCACCAGTGTCTTACCAACCTTTGCAACATACAGTTAATTGCCTTGCTTATGCCGAGTTCTCTACACATTCCATCCTTTGCTTGCTTCCATGGACTTCGGGGTGCAGTGTAAGGCAAGATCATCATAGCAGTATTTTTTGGTGATCAGAGAGGGGGGGAAAAAAATAAAAACAAAAAAAAACCTTATTGTCTCGTCCAACCTAACAAGGAATGTTATTGAACTGTGCCAAACTGATCCTCACTGGTTGAATTGTTATCTTGAATAACGCTCTAATGCAAAAAAAAAAAAAAAAAATGGAAATCCTGGGACATCTTTTTGTGAAACATCAGGGGTTGTTTTTTGTTTTTTTGTTTTTTCTTTAGTTTGTCTGTATCCAGAGGCATGAATGCCAGGATGGTTCACAGGCTTTTGGATTCCCTTAGTATTTATGTCAATATTTATGAAAGGAACGTTAATGCAGAAATACCTGAATTTGGCCTTCCAGCGTTATTCCCACTGCTCCTCTCCTATCGTTTCTACCGGTATCAAATCAGTAATTTGTCAGGTGTAAGGAGGTTGAGAGGTTATGAAAAGGTGTTTCTAGCGCCTGTCTTGAAGGAGACATGGCTACCTTTCATTTCCTCCTCAGATTTGTGCTTGAATTCCTTTGCCCCGTTTGTTGGCTCAAGTTGATTAGCCGACACACTGGACGCCATAGTATAGTATTCTATTTATTATTATAATAATGTCTTATTTATTTGAGCTATTTATGGCAAACTATGCCCTCGATGCAGGGCTGACTTCCCAGCAAAGGGCTTTGAAGTTTCTGTAGAAACTGATGCTAGAAGACATGCCGCCTGTACTCCTCTCCCCCTTTTCAGGTGATTGCTGTGTCAGTCCGTTCTGTCTCTTTTCACTCCATTTCCTGAAAATAAACTCAAGCCATTCTGCACAATATGTTAACTAGATTTTTTTTTCCTTTTTATTTACTGTATCATGTTCAAGCGTTTCCGCTCATCTGCTCATTAAGTAGAATTGAACCTAAATGGCCAATTTGAAATCTAGCATTCGAGGTATTCAGTACTATAGAAGGGAAATGGTGGGGTTATGCTTTTGTACTCTAAACAGCACACCAGAGGTTTGACAATGGCACTGAAATGATGTAATGTTCTTTCTACTTTTGTCTTTTTCCTATTCTCCCTTGGATGTACAGTACTGTATCATATGCTAGACATCGTAAATATCCTGTAAATTAAGCGCTTCACGTTTCAAAGCATATGTCTGTTGCACTGAGGATGAAGATCCAACACCCGTTTTCTTTTGGCTACTAATAAATCAAGTCACTAAAATTGAAGCCAGGATCTGACACGCAGGGGCCGTGCTACTGTAAAGAGCGTCCTTGTGACATTTGGGGCGTAGTTCCTTCAGTTCTGTTCACTGCAGTTGCGAATGGTTACTCAAATAATGTTCAGTTCCAATATTTTTCTGACTTGATTGGAACATGCTTCTCTACGAGGCTGTATATTTTTGTAATGAGTTTTGTACTTATTTTTAATGTTGTGGTCTCCGGTGGACTTTATTTTCCATTGTTGTTTGACTGTTAATGTTTTTTCGATGACATTCTGTGTCGCTGTTCCAGTTGTCTTTTAAAATGGATGCTTTAGTTGTCTGGGTTATTGAATCACCTCTTAGATGTCTAATTATGTCACTATAACAACAACTGCTGTCTTTGCAGCTTTATATTTGGGTGAAGCCTAGACAATCTGACTGGAAAAATAAACTTTCTTTATTCTAAGATAAAATATGAAGAATTTTTTTTCTTTCATCTTTATTCTAGGGAATCTAAATTTTCTACTTTTCTCTTTCTCTTTCTCTTACTTTTCTTGGTGCTGGGCTCTTCCTTCCTCAGCGATGATACCTCCTAATATCGCTGCATGTATGAGAAATGACAAGCTCGGGGAGCCTTGCTTCTACCTTATGGGCCATAATCAAACTACGGTTTGTAGCTAAAATCAATATTAGGTGTTTCTGTGCTGTGGCCTAATTCCCTCACATTGCTTTCCGCTTTGCTATATTTTTATATGTACGGCAATTCATTCTGAGCATCCCACGTTCTTTGAATTGTAAGTACACAACCAAACATGTATTTAAGCCTTGCTTTTACCTTGTGCAATAATCAGGTGGCAAGAAACCAAGCAATTGCAGCTATGGTCCTCCATCATCTTGATTTTTAAAAAGCTAATAAATGAAGCAACATGAATTGCAAGAGTGGTTTGCATCTGTAATCGCAAAAATAACGGCCCGCACACACAAAAAAAAAAAAAAAAGAAAGAAAGAAGGAAAAAAGAACTGAATTGAGAGAGGTTTTAGTAAAAGAGCTTGCACATAAAGAAAAATGAAAATGTAAGTGTTTTGCAAGTTAGGAGGGCTAAGTCATTTGTTTTGCTTTTCAGTCGTTGTCATCAAGACAACCTGCTTTACCTAAAAGTGAGTGTTCCCCAAATTGAATCCAGGAAGTGTTAGTATTTAACATTAGTCGAGTTGCCTTACAATACCTACTTTTGCAAAGAAAAAAACTGCTTCCCACCTTCAGTCGGTGTGACTACTTTAATGTTTTGCCATGTTTATGATAAATCATTTACCAGCATCCAAAACAAAAGGCAAGAGTAATTTTAATTTAGCCACAGTACAGTTCCCTTGCTTTACAGTTTGTCTTATTCAGGTAGTTCAGATCTCTTTGGTAGAAATAAAAAGAATTAACAGGAGGTTACGTGCTAATCAAAGCTATCCTGCATATGAGAATGTCCCTCCATTGCTTTAATTAAAAAAAGATCATAACTTCTATCGTCATCGGTTGAATCATTGTGGCAAAACCAAAACCGATCCCATTACTATTTCATAACGTAATAAAATTAAATGAGATTAAGTAATACGTTCAGTGCAATGGAAATTATATGATTATGGTCTCATTATCACACCTTTAAAATGTTATTTTGTAGGATCAAAACATAGTCATCAATTATATCACTCTATCCTTTTACAGTCACTTAAAATGAGACTTCACACACACAATACATTTTTTTAAGGAGGCATTTCTTTCAAAAGAATAAAAAGATAGCGCTAATCACTTCCTAAAGGCCCTTTTATTGGGAACTACATCTTTAAAAAAAAAAAAAAAAAAAAAAGTCCTGCAATCCCCCTTTTGTTTTTACTAGAAAGAACTTACTTTAATCTTAAAAATTACAAATTGGACTTGGGGGAAAACACAAAATCCTGTGTGATGAGCTGAGCATAACAATGATAGCAACTTGGACCAAAATAGAGCTAATGAGGAGAAGCACCAATACTAATCTATAACTCTCATTGTTTGCAGTTTACATTTTAAATTAACAAAAGCTTCAGTTAGTCTTTTACTGACTGCTTTAACAGATGTTTGTTTTTGTCACTAATGAAGTCTGAGGAATGATAAATGGTGTCACAACCCGACCGAATCCATTTGTACCAAACAATTTGCTGTTATTCTTTTTTCAGACCCCAGCAGTGACAGGAACAGTCCAGCCACAGGTTCACAAAATGTATCGGAAGTGAAAACCGTGCCATCTGACCGACGCCAACACCCATCATTGGAGTCCAGTTATCCACCAGATCTTCACAAATCATCACAACATGGGGACAAGCGGACTTATGTTAAAGACCCAAAAGGCAGCAGAGAGTTTAGCAGACAATCCAATGAGCACCACACTTGGAACGGAACTTCTAAAAACAGCGCTAGCGCCGCAGGCAGGAAAAAGGACCGGTCACCGGAAAGGAGGCAAGACCGACAACCAGAAAAAATGGTGGTAAATGGACAAAAGAGGAGGTCTCCCGAAAAGAGGAGGGAAGGGACGAGGAGTGCTGACAATACCTTGGAGAGAAGGGAGCGGCACGAGAGAAGGAGAGACCTTTCTCCCGAGAGGCGCAGAGAACGGTCGCCGACTCGCAGAAGGGACGGGTCACCTAGCCGGCGGAGGCGGTCACTCGAAAGACTCACGGATCCAAGGAAATCACCGGAGCGGAAAAGAGAAAGCTCGCCCGAACGAAGGGCTAAGTCGTCCGACAGGAGGAGGGAGAGGTCGCCTGACAAAAGGACCAGGGGTGAACGAGTCGGCAACCGAGAGAGGGAAGAGCACAGTTCGAAATACGATACTACCAAAAGACACCCCCCTGAGCAGAGGAGGAGACCGTATAAAGAGTGCAGCACTGATCTCAGCATCTGAGGCATCGTCCGATGCACTGAGCCACATTCCAGCCTTTTCCAACACTGAAGTTTCTAAGAAGAGAGCAGCAAAGCCGAAAGTATCCTCGTTTTCTTACGCAACAAAAAATCTGACACCTGCTGGTCCTACGAATAGCAACAAACGTTTTATGCAGATGAAACCTTATAACAGAAATATATACAAAAGTGTTGTGCCTGATGTATAATATTAAAGAAAGTATTTTTCAGTGTATACATTTTTTTGAAGTTACTTGCCAAATGTTGGTCCTAAAGGATTATAAAATTTTGTTTCTACATTCTCTGTAGATTTCTTGAGGGAGAAAAAAAAAAAAAATTCCTTTATCGAGCAATTCCCCACCCCCACGATTACGTGGGGGCAGCCAATGTTATAATATAGGTAAGAGATTTTATGACCAAGCTTGAGTAATTTGATCCAGACTGTTCAATAGTGATTCACTGCTATGTTGTACGTAGACATTTTTTTGAAAGGGGCGGGAATGGGGGAAAGAAGAAAAATATACGTGTCGGTAGGAATGGCGTACTTACTCCTGCT